GCGCGTACGCGCGCGCGCCTTAATTCTTACTCGCACGATCAATTTCGTTTATGCACGGGCGACGGTCCAGCGACCATGATGACGAGGAAGAAGAAGAAGAAGAAGAAGAAAAAGGAGAAGGAGTAGGAGAAGATGGATATGCTGGACAATACGTCAGCCCCGTGTGAATGTGTGTGCCGGCGTGTGCAATATTAATTAAAAGCGTCGAAACGTCGGTGGACAACCACGTGGAGATGGGGTACTAAGGGGTAAAAAGTGCACCGACAGGTGTGTCCGTGGGGACGATCGGCTGCGCGTAATTGATCATTGTTTGTTTCCCTCCCACCCTCGGTGCGACGTCAGTCATTTTCGATCGAAAACCCGCCGTGTCTCGTTGCCGCTCGCGTTGCCACTCGCGCGCCTATCGTTCGTTACGTTCTCGATTTTGCCGTGCGTTTTCGCGCGCTCCTCCGCTTTCTTTCGCAACCTCGCGCTACGTAAAACGCTACACGTGCGAGGCTCACCCGCGCGCGATCTTTTGCTTTCCCTCTTCCGTATCGTGCGTATGTTTCGAGAACGACGAGCAGGATGCACAGTGTTCGACGCGGCTGTTACCGTCGTTAATGTTACATATGTGATGGGCTGATAACGCGCGACAGGGGGATTCTTGTTGCTTAAATACGTCCCGTCATAAGCAGATTATTAACTGTTAACTGGGGAGACAACCCTCGCGCATTAGGGCGCATCGGTTGCAAGCGAGTGCACTCGAGTGACCGGCGCCGATGATTAGCCGACGATGATTATAATACCCGTGGCTGCAACTCGACACCGGCTCCTCCTTTCCTTCCCGCGTGGCCGGATGTGTCCCGATCTCGTGTCGCGTGAACGGTCTCGCCGTCGCTTAGTCGCGTAATATCTTTTAGAATTTAGCTCTGCAATTAGTGCCGCGTAATCACTCGTTCTACGCGCGCGTTCGCAAACTCGCTCGCGTGCGTAGCTTCGTGTATCAGTACTTTGCCACTCTCCCTCTCGACCGACCTCCAGCAGTTCACGTTCATTCTCCCCTGATTTCTCATCGATCGTCTATAATCGTGCCCGAGCCGCGATCGATTAACGATTAATGATATTTACTTAGAGATATATCGTAGACGTTAATTACTCGAGTACTCATACTAGCGAAGTATCCGCGGCGAGAAACAGGCGGTGCACGTTCGGTTCGCCGCCTCCGTTCACGATTCGCCTCCTGACTCGCCACGAGATCGGACGCAGCCGACGTACATGCGCCTCGACGCGTCCTCGTGCGCGCGTCTGCCTCCGGGGAGCAATCTCGCGAAAGTCACCGCCGTACGCGAAGCGTCCAAGTAGCAACGACGTTTGAGGGGAACGCCGAGGCGAAGGACGAACGTTTCTCTCTCTCTTCGGTACTCCAGGAAGTCAAGTTGCCCGTGGTGCAAGCAAAAGTGCACGGTTGCGACTCTGGTGCTTTCGCGAAGGGAAACGCACGGGATCGCGCGTCTCAAGCGGAAGATGCATTCGAGCGAACGCGCAATTCGCCCGAGCGCGCGCTCTTCATCCGCCGCAACCACTCGCGAGGGCATTCTCGTCAGAGGATTCTCTCAACACGAGGACGAGCGACACGCGCTTCTTTTCATTTCCGGCCGCTTCCATCGACGACGACTCCGCGAGATCGGCAATCCCGCGAGCGTCCGCGCGCGTGATCGATGATCCGTCCGGCGATCGATGCATTTGTCATGCATCGAAGTCGTCGATGGTCCTCTTTCTCTCTCCGCCAGCGATTGCACTGACGCGATCGAATTAATAGTGACAATAAGGTGTTCTGCATCGGGATCTTCGGACGCGGGGGATTGAGTACGGACATCACACGTGTGACCATTTTCAATAATCTTGTTATTTTCAAGGCATGTGCGTGGGTGCGTGTACACGTGCATGTATACGAAGGGATTTTCGGAATAAAGATACGCTTTCGGGGTTTTAAATGAAAGAATAAATGATAGATCGAGAACCTTTTGAACCTTTTATCGCGAGCTTTTAATCGCGCGATCGGCAATATCTTGAGAACATGTTAAATGTTGGAAGCACTCGAAGTTACCGAGGTTGTATCGAGCACTTCAGACGCGTTTAGGACTTTCGTTAATTTTCACTCTCGATTTCACGTCATGTGAGCGGAGATGAGACGAGTCTGAGGCGCTAAAAAATATTGCATTCCGAAATGTGCTGACAATACTAGAAATCTATTGTGTTCACGTTCCGTATACTAGAGGTTTTCGATAATGTCAGTGTATTACGGAACACAGCCTGAGAGAGATGTTCTCCGTCGGCGCGTCTCTGGCCGTTGGAAAATTTATTATAAACGTAGACGATACAACGAGTGCAACGCTGGCGAGACGTCGTGAGGTCGCGCGCGGTCACGCGAGGTCACCGCGCTCGTGCATCGAACACATACATGAATTACGCGTGCGCTACATAGCGATTCGTTTCTCCACAAAATACATACATACATACATATAGATATGAAAAAAAAATATATATAAATATAAATATATATATATATATATATAAAATATAGTTTTTTCTCTCCCTGGTAGTGCGTACATGTAGCGGATTTATTACGGCATCATTACGTACTGTATGATATTATACATAGCATTAAATGAGACTGTGTCGCGTATCACACCAAAATCCGGAGAGAGAAAAAGAGAAAGAGAGATAGATAGACGCGAAAGAGACACCCACACCACCGTTCAGGTCGACTTTTGTGCGCGTCGCCGCGGACGGGGAGTTGTGTCTCATGCGCATACACGCGTTCGTTCGAATAATAGAGCGAGATTATTCTGAGAGAGCACGTCGAGAGAGAACGCTATACAGTATAAAAACAAAATTGTACCCGTGCTGCCATTAGCGTTAAAGCAGGAAGTGGAGGTGGAGTTAAGGTGCGAGGACAAGCCAAAGTATATAGTTAATGAAGACACACACGAATTTATGCCCATGAGGAGACGTACACTTATACATATAGAAAGAAAGGGAGAGAAAGAGAAAAAGAGAGAAAGAGAGAATGTGTGTGTGTGAGAGAGAGAGAACGAGAGAATAAAAGAGCGAGAGAGTGAGAGGGAGAGAAAGAACGAGAGCGAAAGAGAGAATGTCGCACGTATACAAGCGTACGCATACTCGCATACATACGCTTAATTGCGTAAATCCACGTATGCATGAGGAAAATGTTGCGAACGAGAGAAAAGGTTTCTTCGGACAATTCCTTGGTTTTCAGTTTGGACGACAAGCGCAGAAAGTAATCGCGAATGTGATTAATAAGTTCGTTCGATCACGGACTTTGTCCAACTTACGTTGAAATATTTTCATATGATCTCGCCTGTTCCCGTGTGCAGAATTCAGAACGATGAGATTTCTCACGATCTTCATCGTTATGACACGACGCGCAATGTAGATTTGTTACTGTCGAGACGTAGCAAAATACGAATAACAGCGGCTCGTCGCAGCCTTTAATGCTCGTTTGTATTTTCCTTATAGCTTATACGGAGTTTCACGATTAAGTATGCCACACGTACCACAGTCGATACGATTGATAAGCGTTTTAATCCCGGACGTGAATTCATTATTTCGCGGCACGAGAATAAGTTTAGGAACCTTCATGTTGAATAATTAGCAGTCTCATCCTATGTACCGTATTAATCGAGAGATCGAGCGGCCATGAGCAGTACGTATCTAGCGGTAAAAGACACACGAGAACCATAAGATGAACAAATGAACCTGAGTTATAAGTGGTTCGTAGCGTGTAATGTGTTCGAATGTGATCGATTTGTTGTCTGATTTTTCCGAACTATTGTTACGTTTGCGCTTATATTAGTAATATTCTTCTTCTTCTCACAAACGATATTATTATTATTATTATTATTATCATTATATTATTATATTGATTACGTTTAATAAGTAACTATAATAATTCTAACTTTAGTGCTATTCATTATTACATTGTGATAACGTGAAAA